CCTCCTCCTCCTCTTCGTTCTCGTCGCTCTCGTACCTCTGTCAACCTCCCTTCATCCAGTCCTCTTGCTCTTCTTTTCCTATTTGTCTGCGTTTCGCCAGGCAACCCTCGGTGAACACACACACACACACACATACACACACACTCTCTCTCTCTCTCTCTCTCCGGTGCAACCTCCGGTTTCGCTACATTTGTACGCGAACCGTGCCCCACTATTCCGGTTGCACGAGCTGCGTGTAGCGGCAACGAACCGCGGACCACCCCTGTTACCGCTGCAACGTGAAATTCTGAGTTATGCACGACCGTGGTGGCTCTGGACCAGCTGGATCTCCCACCAGAGGATCCGTCCTCTCTCCACCTACCGCTCCTTAACGAACCGTTCGCGATAAACATGCTACTTCCGTGCGAATCGTTCGCTGACGTGCGCACATTCGCGTCGGGGATTTTGTGACTGTTGCTACACTTGGAGTTTGCCTCTGGTTAAATACCATTAAATGTTGTTAAATCTTGGAGAACGTTGCACGTTTTGTCAAAAACTCGGCGACATGATGAACTGGATCTTTCGCGTTAGATAGAATTTTATTATAGAAGTTTTATTTTTCCTTTTTATTTATTTACATCGCGCTGAAATATTCCTGTTACTCGGCACAGCGTAGAGAAATATCCTGGTAACATGAAATTCTATAAAATTCTAGCCGTGTCCAAATGAGAGAAAGTTCTTTGATTCATGCTGATTAGGATAAAAAGTATTCCTGGCAGAATAAAGCGCAATAAAAAAGAAATTAGAATAAATAAATAGATAAAACAGATTCTAGTCTTCTCTAGGCTCTGCAATGATTTTCTAAAAATTTTCTCTAAAAAAATAAGAAAGACAACGCCACACAGATGCCACACTGTCAAAAGTGTCCCATCTTTCGCACGGTCGATAAATTTCGGTGTTGCACTTAACAAGTTGAAAACAAAGCTAAACAATCCCACATAAAACTCCGCCGCCACGTACAGCTTAAACCACGTACAGCGGAGATAAGGCATCGCTTCCGCAGGAACGCATAAAATTAGCGACGACAAAAGGGCCGTTCGTCCGCGAGAAATACCGTGAGAAACAGATAAGTGATGAGAGCGGGAGAGAGAGAGAGAGAGAGAGAGAGAAAGGAGGGCAATCAGGGAGACAGGAGGGTTGAAGGGTAGAAGAGATTTCGGATACAGTGGCTCATAATGTATGCAATTGGGCCGAGATAGTACGTAGGATGGTGCCCCTGTTGGTCGATTATGTGTGCTGCTGAATGGCGAGAACTGCTGAGGAAGCCAGGCCAGCACCATCAGGGTCCGCCTGCGTGCGCTCTATGCATGTCAGGTATTATATGGTATTTAGCGTGTATCTGCTCCACGCACGCAGTGCTTTGGCATTCTACGCTAGGAATTACAGTGGAACACGTGTTCCAAGAACACACAGCGTATGGTCACATTCGACTACCAACCGTTATTTAACGTATGTCGAGCAATACGAATGACTGGCCAGCGAGAATTCGAACGTGTCTGATGAGAGCCAGGTGAAGCATCGACGAGGAAGATTTAACAAAGATAAAGCCTCGATCAAGAAGTCTCTCGTTCCTTTTTAGAATTTTCCTCGTCATTTTAATAACGAATGGGATTCAAGTACGATCTTTCGGGTGATGGACGTTTTAGCTTCTTAATTTCTCTTGTGTACCAAAGAAACGAGGTTTCCGACGGGTGGTGGAATTACTTCTGACATACCAAATTGGATATTTTATTATTTTATTATTGGAGAATTTTATTATTTGAAATTGGAACCAGGAGTGTTTAGAATTTTTTAGAATCTGAAATATTTGGAATTTATCCGGTGTAAATTTCCAAAAAATTCCGTTCTGTATACAACAATGTATCGCATTGAGAAGAGAAAATCGAAAAATCGATTCGACGGAATTAAACTCTACCTCGGCCTAGAACGAAGTCTGCAAGTCCCAACGTTAACATAATTCATTTTGAAAAGAAAGTTCCACGGTAAACTGCTGAAAGTACTAAAGAGCGAGATTCACATTTCATCGGCGACCAGTCGATCGCAAAAATATTCGAGGCTCGTAATTTCTATCAGTCCTCGTGGTTTATTAAAGTCGAGACAGGCCGCTGATGCGCTCGATACGGGCTGAGAATCTACTGAAGAAGTGCCGCCTCGCGGCGTGTACACGCGGAATCCAACTTTTCCAGCCTCGATATAAGTTCGAGACTTGATAACCCTCGCTTCAGCGAAAACATCGAAAAATTCGTTTACTCTCGGCTCCTTTGGAAATTGTTTCACAAGACCAGGATCAGAATCGAAAACACTGCTGCTCGAGAAGGCTCTTTTGGGCGCTTGCCTGCTTCTGATTTAATCGATCATCGAACCACGAGTAAAAATTATGGACCGAACTTTTTCCGTACTTTTATCTCTTCGTGTGCGTTGTGATAAATTTGAGTTCAACGATGGGACAATGAGGTATAAATATAACAGGATATTCTGGATACTTTCTACTCAAATGTCTCGACGATAATATATTTAAATTAAAAAAAAAAAGCGCCAAATGCGAAAGATTTCCGGTTCTACACTTTCCAGACGTTCTCGCAATTATTCAAACGCTACGTCGTCATTCTTCTACATTTTACTAAAATTTAGAAGAATGACGAAGATTTTTCTAAAATTTTTCTAAAATTTAGAAAAACTTCTAAATTTTCCAATTTACCAATTTCGAAATGATCAAACTCTATTCTCCAAACGAATGATTAAATTTTATTCTTTCATAATTCGCCCCCTCACCCCATGAAAAATTGACAATTACGTTTGACGAACGTACGTTTACGATGCTGTCGGAATCAAAAAATTGCCGAATCGAGAAAAATATTGCTACTGCAGCAGAACAAAAAATTTTCACTTGTCCAGTGATTTCGATTTTCGTTGTATCGTTCTCCAATTCCGCCCTCTCCTCCACTCCCCTCCCCCCTCCGTCCTTTTTCTATTTTTATACTATTTTCGAATGGTGTAAATCGCGTTGGTATGCAACGCATCAAATCGCGCGATTATTTCGGAATAACGTAATCGAGGTAACGTAATTGAGTTTGCAGTGCAAGCAAACTGACACGCGTCAGGCTGGCACGAACGGGTGGGGGTGGTGGGAGGAGAAAAAAAAAGCCGGTGTCGAAACCTGAAAAACGAAATTCGAATGTTTCCCCACGGTCGGGACCCGGTGAATTTCAAATAATTCGAAAAAAAAAGGCACGGGATCCTTTGCCCCGCGTCGTCCCGGTTCAATTCATTTAAATGCAAATGTAAACTTCAAGGGTGATAAAACAACTGTCGCGCGTTGTCGTGGAGAGACGAGGCCTCTCTCTTTCTTCGTTTTATTTTCCGATCGTAAAGCATCGGGGCGCCATCTTCTTCCGGAAGAGGTCTTCCAGAAAATTGAGGACCGTAACAACGAGCCTATAATGGCCATTATCCTGCTACACATTCAGATCGAAGGCGTCCACCGAGCGTGCGTGCGTCTACCTGGCCTGATCGATGCGATAAACTTTCAACGAACGAAGTTACCGATGTAAACGCGCGAAAATTAAATTCCTATCTCGCAAGAGTGAGCCAAGTTCCTCGAAGAATGGAAGAGAATTATAGGTTACGAGGATTAGGGGAACGTGGGACGCGAAAGTATCGGGGGAAATTGTCTCTTCGAGGGCGGAGGAGACGTGTAAATTGTGGTAGAATGAAAGCAGACGAGACTTCGTCTGTTTTCCGTGCGCGTGAATTTTTGTAAACTTCGAGCTGAATTGTCAAATTGACAAATTAGATTAAATTTCAGATATCGACAATATCTGTAGGATTTTGAATTCTTTTGACTTACCCAATAATTAAGGATGCATTCATCTTTAAATCATTTAATCTTTTCTATATATTGCTATCCTTTTCTAAACTTTTGATTATCTGTACGATATTCTAGTGTAAATTAAACGTTCTGTTACAAATTTCGAATTTCCGCTGTAGCTTGGTGAAATCCTGATTTTTGAACTCTTTGAAGTTGAAAGTAAATTGTTTTTGTGGCTTTGGTTTTATGTTGTATGTGTGAGAATGCGTGAGAGTCGAGCGAAGGCGTGAGTGTTGTGAGATAATTGCGAGTGTGTTGAGTGATGCGTTTTTGTTCAGAAGCAAGCAGTAAGTTCATAAGTGATAGTTATTATATACGTTATTCAATTTATATATATACTATCAAACATATTAATTAACAGTGTGTTTTTTATTTAATTCACTCACAGTTTTGAGATGACTCAGATGTGCAAATTGATGGAAAATGATCGAAATATCTTCTAGATTCTAAGAACTTGACGCGGCATTTAACGAAATTTCTGTTAACGAATCCTGGTCACCATCTAACGAAAAATTAATCGCAGTCATTCGCAAAGATAAAATAATAATGAAATCGCCATTGAAATCGTGTGACTGTTCTTCCAGAAGGATTTACTTGAAAATCCAGTGTATTCTATTTTATTATAAACCACAAATAAAATTCGTCCAACATTCGGTTGTTTGGAACGAAATGGGTCATGCAGTTCGGTCGGAACTCGACAAAACGGACTCGAAAAACGAGTTCGCCTGTCGGCTTAACTAAGAGGAACTCGTATATTTTCTCTCTTTTCCCTTTCGAACTAAAATTTTTAACCAACGTACAAATTTGTCGCAATCCTCTGTCCTTCCGTTCTTTTTTTCGTCTAAAGGATCAGAGGACGAAGGAAACAGAACGATTTTCTATATTACATCATCGGGTGCACTTTTGCAGAAACGATGTAAATGGGCAGCAGCTGCGAGTATTGATCGAAACCTATCAGACGAGGTAATTTCGCGGTCAGTCTGCTCGAAATTTATTCGCAGTTCCGGCCCATTCGCGGCATAATAACGGCAGAATTTTCACTTCTACCGCCATCGAATATCTAGTTCGAACGTGTCGTGCAAATGTAGCTTACCTTCTGGTAGTCGATGGCCAGCAGCAGGTATTTCCGGTCGGCTGAGAGTTGATGGTCGAAACTCGACATCAGCGCCTGCAAGTTCGACGCGAAATTGTTATTAATATAACCTCTCGATGCTAGATAGTATTACCATTGCGTTTCATTGATATCACAGTATAATTTCTATATTTTACTCCGCAATACACTTCACAACAGAGATATATCGCCGAATAAAACTGAAGAGTCCGCGTGTCGTATATATTCGTGTATTTAAAACAGAGAAAGAACGATTTTGAACATTTCAACGAGTTTCAATATCGGACCAGCTCCAAGACACTGGCAATGTTTTCAATTAAACGTGCCACTGTTTTAACACTTTTTTCGTTCGTTGATAACGAACTGGAAAATGTGTGGAATGAGCAACACAATAAATTATAAAATAAAAAGCAGTTACAAAATCCTTCCTCTCGTTGAAATATTACGAACGCGATGTTTCATTGACTATCTCAACTTGACAGTGTCTGTCAAATTCACGCGACGCGAAAAGAGGCGAATCATTTTATTTTATTTTTTCTTTTCTTTTCTTTTTTCTTTTTTTTTTCGCCGGTAAGTGGAGATATTTCCTCTCCGCAGCGGGAAAGAAGAGTAGAAGACAAACACGTTGTACTCACGTTATTACTCGACTCTAGGATTCTCCTCGGCTTCCTCGATGTGACATTATAGATCAGGAGATTTCCAGTTTCATCGCGATACAGTATCTCGTTTCCTGCAACAGAAATGGTCACGTGTAGTTCTCCGCCGAGAGATACTCGAGCTTTTGTTACCGGCGGAGGAGGAGCGAGAGGGAGGAGGGAGGAGAGGAGAAGAAAAAAAAAGACAAGAAACTCCGCCGATAAAATGAAATTACTTTGATATCGCTCCCGATGGGATCGCGTCGGCGACTGATTGAAGAAACAGTGCTTTCGACAAATTTCATACCGAATTATCGTCTCTCTTCCCTTCGTTCCTCCGATTATAATCGACATTGTTGCAATGAACGTGCCGAACGAATTAAAGAGGCGTTTCGACTGCCGTTTAATCGGATTTACAAGTCTCAATCTCCGCTATCGAGATTCGAAACCGATCGGGAAATGTGTGTAGAAAGTGCCGGACGTTTATTGCAAAGACACATTTTTAGTAGTGAACGGCATATAAATGCTTTTAAAACTAGCGTTAGAGGAAAGAAATGCATAAGTTTACTAAAAGCAACATTTTTTTTTTTTTTTAAACTGAAGCCACTTTGTTCGAACATTTTACGGAAGATTCTCGAGGAAGAGTATATGTGCATATACAGAATTTGCGTAATCCTTGATCACACTCGAGAAGAAGTCTTTCGACAAAATTAGAAACAAAGTTCCTTTTATTCGTTGAATAAAGAGATTGAGGCTATCACTGTACTACGTTTTGAGCGAGATATCTCGAATTCTAATGAAAGACACGCGACGCAAAGCGTTGCACGAACGGCGATACTTCGCTCAAAGCGTGTTCGCGAACGATATTGCGATATAACGAGATATCTGGCGAACAGTAAACGAAACACACCGACGACCACAGAAGGTTAAAACATAAAACAGAAAACAGTGGATAGGTATAAAATATAAACTAGAGCTCGAGAACTGAACTGAAACTGCAGACTGGTGAAAAGGAGTTAAAATGCCTCGCAGAAGTTTGGTCGAGGTCCAGTATCATCAATCTTCGGCCGATCGGGCCGCTATCAATCCTCGGTTTAACCCTATTAATACACCTGATCCCTACCCGCGAGCTTTCTAATTAACCCGAATTGACGAAGTTTTGCCCTCCGCGTAAACGAAAATCAAACCGCAATAATCCCTCCTTTAACCATTAACCACCTCTATTCCCAATTAGTCTGGATTAACAAGGTTTCACGAGGTAGGGACGGCGCACCTGTAACCGATATCCAGTTTCCATAGGATCCTCGATATATCGACAAGGCCGGCAACCCCTTCAAAACGCCCGCGGATATTTCTCCTGATGTTTCCTTACCGCGTCATTGCGTTGTGTACCGTCGCGTAAAACGACGTCGCGAGTGAAACGCAGCAAGCCTTTAATATCCGGACAAGGAAATTTCGACCAAGGGAAATTTGTTTTGAATTTAGGAAACGAGATACGATTTCTTTCTTTAAATTTTAACCTGTTTTTTTTTTTTTTTTTTTTGGAGAGACACGAAGCTGAAAGATTTTTTTTTAACGAAAGCGATAGAAAAATATAAATGTATATTTAGTGGAAAATAGATCGTTTGTATCGTTGTTTTTTTCGTTATAAGATTTTGTTTAATATTTTTTCAGTTACTTCTTGCCACGCTAGATCATAGTTGTACTTCGTTCGATTTCACTTGTTGCTATTATAAATTTTTTAGTCATCTTTCATTATGAGAACTGTGCGAGTTCGCACGACGTTATTTCATTTATTATTGTAAAATATTTTAATTATCTTTTACTACCACACCAGTTGAGTAGGACTTTGTCTCACTGTTTTTCATTTATTATCGTTATAAAATTTTTTTATTACCTCTCATCGTAAATTCCCATGAAATATTTCATCAAGAGATTTTGCTGGATCTTTTAATTTCCTATTTGTCTAATTGCACAACTTACTACAGTTAATTGTTCGTTATTTAAAAATTTTTTCATCACCTTTTAATTCCACGAAATATAAATATAGTCATCTTATGCCATCTTATCGTAAAATTCTGCAAGATCTTTTAATTTTCCGGTTATATAATTTAGGATTAGGGCCTGTTCTTTAGACGTTTATTCTAAAATTCTTTTCATCAGCCTTTATTGTAAATTTCCGCGAGATATTTGATTTATTTACCGTGTCTTATCGTAAGATCTGGCAAGATTCTTTTCACTTTCTATTTGTCCAGTTGCACAACTTTGTCCTTGCACACGCAGGTTGATTAAATTTTGTCCTAGCGAATTCTGTACATTAAACTACCTACTCTGTTTCACGCTCTCTGTCCCCCAAATCCGCACTGGCGCTCATTTTCCCTTTGACATTCACTATCTTTCTCCGCGGCAGCTCCGACCTAACAAACATTATTCTAAGAAAGGACAAGGGACACGGTTCTGCGTGACATCGCCGTGTAACGCCTGCGATTCATTGTTCTCTAACTGGTCCAGTCGTAAATTAGCTTAGGTTTATTTCCGCGAGTCTTGCCCCTCTCCCGCGGTAATACAACAGAAGGTTGCTACTCTGAATGAAATTTCGCTGAAATGGGAACAGAAGAGCTTAAACACAATGAGAGCTGCGCACACGATCATTTTCTTCTCGCTTTTCTAATTTCGAATTTCCCGTCACGCTTAGTTTTGATTTTATTTTAAACGCAACCGGACGAGACTCACAAAAATAAGAAAGAAACAGAGAGGTATGGTTTCTTGCAGTGTTGCACGTATGTTTTTAATTACAATGAAATTTAAATTCAATTTTAAATTTTAAGAATTAAATTCTTACAATGAAATACTGGTAGAAATTTCAATCCCCTGTGAAACTAAATAAATCTCGCATCTGCGTTGAAAAAAACTCGTGTACAATCGGTGACAAAAGTGTCCAGCGTATTTCACATTGAAATATTTATTCTGTTCTGTTTTCTGAGCAGTTCGTTTCATCGCAGCGAGCCAGCACGATGAACGCTTATTAAAAATACTACATTTCCTCTTCGTTGCTATGATATTGTATAATTTTCCATCGGGACACACTGAACACCCGTTACGATCGTATTAATGTCCATTGCACAATTGAAACTCAGTTTTCAATCAAGTGAAATGATATAATACAGCTCGATAAATGACGAATCTATCAATGTATCGTGATCGATAACTGCGATGCAACAGTATTACAGAAAGAAGCGTTTACGAAAGCCAATATTTCCATCTTTCGAAAACAAAGAACAACATTCTTCGTTTGGAAAGCATTGTTCGTTCGTCAACATCACCTCTTTCGCATTTCAGGCGTAATTACAGTTTGAAGAGGGCGTACAAAAATACTTCTAGAAAAGAAAACCCGAAGTCGGAACTCGGCAAGAAGTGTAGAAGCGTTGAAATCTATTTAAAGAGGAAAATCGAAGTAGAATAGCTCGGTCATATCTCCCCCTCGTTACCAATACCACATACTAAACGTGCACAGTGAAGGAAATTTCAAGCACGAGATAATTCACAATCTTACGAAATGAAGTTTATGTTTAGCTTCAGAGCAATGAACAGATGTGACACAGAATAGAATTTTATATAAACAAGGCGATACTCTTAAAATAAACTATAATAACAAAATAATAATAATAAATATATAATGATAAATAACAAATAGAACATGATAATAAAATATATAATAATAAATAACAAATAGAACATGATAATAAAATATATAATAATAAATAATAAATAGAACGTGATAATAAAATATATAATTTAAAAAAGTGTCTGGTTAATGTAATGAGTAATAAAGTTATACTTAACTTAGAGCGGAATGTTATAATAAAAATTGTGCAGAATGTTATAACGAAAGAGTAGAATAATTATAACAGAAATTCAGAATTTTATAAAATGAAGTTATATTTAATAACTGGGAGCAATGAGCATATGTAACAAAATAGAATATTGTAGTAAAAAAAATAAGATAATATCTTTAGAAATAACAGAATATTAATAAAAAAGAAAAGAACGTCCAGCTGATGATTGACATCAACGTGCTACTGTCGACGCTTATGGTGTTTGGATGCATGGTTATGGTATATATTTGCATGTACCTCGAGACTTTTATTTTTGTCTCTGTTTTTTATTAGTTGATCGAAGAGATTTTTAACGAGGAGGAGTGTACGCGACGATAAAAAGAACGAGCCTTTACGAGGCCAGCGATCCGAGTATCCGATGATTACCATTGTTACTAGGTTGTTATCGTGCTTGCACGCGTAATAAAGCGCGGTATAGTTTACGCAGCGACGTGTGTAACGGGGATTTCTATTGTTAAACATCTCGTAAACTACGCGGTCTGTAGAAACGTACTGACGTCGCGACGCGTCGAGATCTTTCTCAATTTGAATTACGCCGCGTTTTCAACTTCTTTTCGCTATAAACTATTATCTCCGAAAGGTTTTCTTTTTTAAAAGGCTGCATCGACGCTACACATTAAATTCCAGATAATTTTCCAATTTTTCCAAATACGTTGTAAATGATCAAAAACTTGTTGAAGGAATGGTTTCAATCCAATTCTCCTCCCAAGTTTCCTACTGTTGCGTGAATCCACGAATTTAAAAAAAAAAATTGAAACCGAATTCTACGTGATATTTAATCATAATTGAAATATTAATATTAATATTGATCACAATTAAAACATTGACATTAATATTAATCACAATGAAAATATATAATATATTAAAAATAATTTTAAACGAATTTCAACTTGGAAAGAATTATAGGCGTTTTCGTTCAAAATCTGATCTTCAGATTCGATCCACTCAATTCCCACTCAATTTTTTCTTTTTTTGAAAGAAAAAGGAGATTAAGCGCACAGTAGAACTTTGAGCTACTAGCGTAACAAGCAACCAACGAACCAAACTAATCGAAGATTATTTGAAAGAACGACGCTCGAACGATTCTCGACGACTCGAACTCTCGCCACGCTAAACGAGGTGAAACAAGGTCCTAGAAAGAAAACTCGGGGGAAAAAAAACGAGCTAAACTACCGACTGTCGCGCGTAATTTCGCCACG